ATAAAAACAGCCAAAATATATTTTGAACAATGCACTGTGAATAACTATTGTAGGTTCTTCTCTAAAATTGTCTACTTGAAATATGAAGTCAAAGATTTTCTAGAAATCTTTGGAAAAAAAATTTTTTATTTTCATTTTTTTATGAAGCAAAAAATATAGAACATAATTCAGTGCGTATCTCTTCTCACTGTTTAAAACCCATGTTATTTCTGCACCGGAAATGTTGTGAAATTATAATTACATAGATATGATAAAGTTGGGTAATCACTGATCCCCAATAAATATATAGTAAATTAAAAGTAAATAATGAGTTTATAAACTTAATCGAAAGGATGAGAAACTTCCACGGAACTCTCCAAAAATGAAGACATTACTTTCTGGAGAAGACATTCAAGAGAATGTAAGAGAGCTGTGTATTTATTGTGAAGAATAAGCAGGCTGTGAGTAAAGACTTTGTCATTAAATTTCATCAGAAACCTTCCTTTATGGGTCATCCTGACAGAGAGTATCATAGAACTTCCATTAAAATACTGTTTACCTGGGAGGCATAAGCTAAATAAAGCATTCGAAACTTACTGTGATTCTGTGGAGTTTTAAAATTAGACACTTAGAACATCTAAAGAACATCTTTAATTCTAGACATTGCATCTATCTCATAAGACACTATTCAAAATTTGTGAGATTTTTTCCCCTCACAAAGAAAATATACCATAAGAAAATGTCTTTTAATTTTGGAAAAGGTATAATATGTACTTAAAACAGCTTTCTACACTGGAATAAATTAATTCATGCAAAAAAAAATCCACCATGGGGACTCACACAAACATTTTCAGATAACTCGTGTACAGTACTGTGATTTATTTACTCTAACATGACTTCACCCACTGTGAATATGCTCATTTTCATTTTCAAGTGACACTACAGGATGATTTGAAGAAGAAGGTCTTTCCGTGTGTACATGGAGAGTTTAGAGGAGTAAAATTAGATACATTCTGTTTCAGCATCTCATTTGAATTTCTTTACACTTTCTGTTAAGAAGAGACACCTGGAATGGCTAAGGAAAATCATTCCTTGACAGTTCAGTTTATTCTCAAAGGATTTTCAGGTCACCCAGAGCTGAAGACACTCCTGTTTGTGGTCTTCTTTGCTCTCTATCTGATCACCATGGTGGGCAATCTTGGATTGGTCACGATGATTTACATGTAGCGTCATCTTCACACGCCAATGTACATCTCTATGGGCAACCTGGCCCTGATGGATTCCTGCTCCTGTGCCATTACCCCTAAGGTGTTGGAGAACTTCTTTTCTCAGGACAGAAGGATTTCCCTCTATGAATGTATGGCACAGTTTTACTTTCTCTACCTTGCTGAGACTGCAGACTGCTTTCTCCTGGCAGCAATGGCCTATGATCATATGTGGCCATTTGTGACCCCCTGCAGTACCACACCATGATGTCCAAGAATCTCCGCATTCAGATGACCACAGGGTCCTACATAGCTAGCAACAAGTATCCTATGATTCATTTAGGGCTTCTGTTAAGGTTAACTTTCTACAAGTCTAATCAAATTTCAAATTAACCTTTTTTTGTGTGTGTGATATTCTTCCATTGTATAGACTCTCTTGCACTTACTCTTACATCAATGAATTAATGATATATATTTTTCAATGCCAAGTTAAATCTTTACCATTGCCACTGTCTGGAACTCTTATCTCTGCATGTTTTCAGTGTTTTCAAATTGAAATCCAAGGAAGGAAGAGGCAAAGCCTTGGATACCTGTGCATCCCACTTTCTGTCTCAATGTTCTACATTAATCTTCTCAAGTATATTCAACCTTTGAAGAAGGGGATAAAAATATACCAGTAGCAATATTTTATACAATAGTAATTCCATTATTAAACCCTTTAATCTATAGCCTGAGAAATAAGGAGGTGATAAATGTTCTTCATATAATCAGTAATTGATAAAGGGTAAAAAGAACTGAAATTTTAGAAATTGATGCAGAAAAATATGTGATAAGATTTTTTTCAGTTTCCTATAAAATCTAAAAGATCTATGACATGTTCCTTACCGAAGGGTAATTCATCAAGACTTAAACAACAGGGAAACTCAGAAGTTGTACCTGATTATATAGAAAATTAATCATACTGAAGAGTCACTACATATGAAGAGGAAAAACCTGTTAATAAAGGTAAAGAATGGGATCAGCAAATGGCATAATGGCTACGTCACTGGACTTTCATGTAGTCAACAGCAGTTTGGCTCCCAGCCCCAGTGGCTTAAACTCACTCCAGGTGCATGTGCGTGCATGCCCAAGAGCTAGAGAGGAGAATGGAGGAGAAGGGATTGTGGCATGGCCATGCCCCCCAATCAGTTGAGTTCTGTCTTTCTGTCTCTCTAACTCTCTCTGTCTTTCTTGCGAGCACACATACCCTATAGCAAAAATCTCTCTCTCTCAAAAAAAAAAAAAGTAATAAAAAAAGAAAGGTAAAGGACATCTGGGGTAGACTGAAAAGACAGAAGGATCTCCCTATTCATATTTGGGGCCAAATAATATCAAGGTTTCCTACAGATTATTCATAGGATAAGAGGACAAAGTCATCTCACAGAATGAAGATGATGAACTTGACTGAACCTCTCACATCTCTAGTCTACTCTAAATCTTAATTATCCTTTTTAAATTACTTTATACATTCAATCACTATACATCATTTAGCTTGCATAGAGAATTTACCCAACATGAATACACCTGTATAATACCCTGTTGAGGGTATTATACACATCATCAACAATCTTTCATAAACCATATTAATCTCATTTCCTCCAGCTACAGGTCAAAGACTACAGACTTTTCTCCTTACTGTATAGTGACAAACAAAATTATAAAACTGAGTTTACTTGCATAGGAACCAAGATGGTCATCAAATAAACTTTAATTGTCATTTTCTTTAACTTCCTTGTCATATAGAACATCTTTATTAAATCCATGTAGCTTGAATATTTTCAAAATACTTTCTCCAGAGAAATACACTGAAGTCAGGCAAATCCCTTTAGGATTTGAGAGAAAACATTAACCCTGCATTATTATGAGGAATGTAATTATTGACACTGACCTATTAGCAGTGTTTTCAGTTTTCATCATTATAATTGCAAATGTTTAGCAATGAAGGTTTATAATTTGAAATTTTGAAAGACATAACATGATATAGCAAGCAATGAAGTCTTATAAAGTTCTTGTTGGTTAAATCGAGGTAAGATAAGTATTCAAATTTATTCTTGTGTTTAATATTAACATCCATATATACTTATTTTTCTGAATTAAGTATTTTTATCATTTTTATATTTAAAGTCCTAGTTATTTAATACTTGTCAAAATTGAATGCTATGAGCAATTTGAGAGAGAGAAATTATTACAATTCACTTTAAATTTTTCTAATTATAAGGTGGAATTTCAGGAGTCAAAGTCACAAAGCTATTCTGTTAAATAATTCAGGCTCGTTTATTGAAAGTTATTTCTAACTTTCTTGAATGATTAACTGCATTCTATTTATGCAGAAAAATTAATACAATTTTCAGCTAAAATGTCTTTCTTTTGATTATTTAATAATGGAAAAGCACACATATTTTTACAATATAATTTAGATGAATAGAACTGTCAGTTAATATGTCTTAATGGATCACTAAACACTGTGAAAGATACGCTTCAAAAGCAAAATGAAAATTTTCACTTAAAAATAGTAGGATTAAATTTTTTTCCTAAACGTTAGAAAGCTAAAGCACAAAGGCAAGGTTGCTTTGGTTTATTAGCTTTTAGTCTATGGCAATACCTACAGAAAATGTTATATAATACTTGGAGGAAACAGATATATAAAAGAAAAGAGTCAACTCAAGTTAAAGAAAGGAACCTGAATATTTCAAGTAATGAATTTGATTCATTGATCATTGACAGGATACTGAAAACAAGTGCACTCATCAGGGGAAAGCATTGGAATTGTGTACATTCTCCATAGCAATTTGCAGCTTCTTTCACAGAAATATGAGTTACAGTTAACAAAATGCTTCTAATATAATAAGAAAATAACATAGGCATTTATGAAACAAAACACTGCACCTTATACATAAGTGTTATTGATTATGATGTGCTCCTTAGTTCGATAACGGAAATTAGTGAGGTCTATGACATTTTGTTAAAATTTTATGGGTAGTAAAACACGTAAATCATGCTTTACACAAGGATGGAAATGAATGAGTTGTTTGGGTAAATATGAATGACATGGGGACAATGGCATGGACAGAGACAGTGTTTATGAAAATGGAAGTGACCTTAGAAAAAGGAATGAGAGAAGAAATTTCGATGGAAATGTATTTCTTTAGCTTCCCAAAGTGATTTGTTTGATGATGAATAGATCTCTCCTTAGTCTTTATAATGAGTAGGAAATACATAAATATAGAGTTAACATATTTATAACATACTATTAAAATATAGTCACTCCACAAGGAGGTTATAAACTATATTCTTAGTGGAAGTGAATATATATATATATATATATACACACACACATATACATATACACACACACACTCACATACACACACATACATATACATATATGTGTGTATAAATATATTGTGAGTACATGTATAAAAAGATTCCAAATTTAAAAAATTTTAAAACAAAATTGACACTGAAGGTTTTCAGTATAGTGAACCAAGTATATGTGACTAGATTTATTTCTCTTCCATAAACTCATTAAGACAAACCTTCGTTACTTTAGGCATCTTCCCTGGAATTTAAAAAATACCTTTGAATCCTGAAGATGGCAACCAAAGAGCATGTAAACAAACACTTTAGAAGAATGAATGCTCCCTGAAAGTATGTGTGCTTGTGTTCCAGAAATCAGGGAAAGCTAAAACAAGCTGCTCCTGTTCTTGTAACAAGAATAAAACTGAAGGAAAAATTATTTCTTTGTAATTAGAATCTTATGTTTCCAGAAAGGCAGACATGACAGAGAACAACCGCTCCTTAACGACTGAGTTTATCCTCACAGGATTTTCAGGTCACCCAGAGCTGAAGACCCTTCTCTTTGTGGTCTTTTTTACCATCTATCTGATCACCATGGTGGGCAATCTTGGGCTGGTGGTGTTGATTTACATGGAGCGTCGTCTTCACACGCCAATGTACATCTTTCTGGGCAACCTGGCTCTGATGGATTCCTGCTGCTCCTGTGCAATTACCCCCAAGCTGGCCATTACCCCCAAGATGTTGGAGAACCTCTTTTCTAAGGACAGAAGGATTTCCCTCTATGAATGTATGGCACAGTTTTACTTTCTCTGCCTTGCTGAGACTGCGGACTGCTTTCTCCTGGCAGCGATGGCTTATGATCGCTATGTGGCCATTTGCAACCCCCTGCAGTACCACACCAGGATGTCCAGGAAACTCTGCATTCATATGACCACAGGAGCCTACATAGCTGGAAATCTGCATTCCATAATTCATGTGGGATTTCTGTTTAGGTTAGCTTTCTGTGGGTCTCACATAATCGATCACTTTTTTTGTGACATTCTTCCATTGTACAGACTCTCCTGTGTTGACCCTTATATCAATGAATTGATGGTACTTATATTATCTGGGTCAATTCAAATCTCCACTATTACTGTAGTTTTGATTTCTTATCTCTGCATCCTTTTCACAATATTCACAATGAAATCCAAAGAGGGACGTGGTAAGGCCTTATCAACCTGTGCATCTCACTTTCTCTCTGTCTCAATATTCTATGGCTCTCTTCTCTACATGTACATTAGACCAAGTTCATTTAAAGAAGGGAATAAGGATATACCTGTTGCTGTTTTTTATACTCTAGTAATTCCTTTATTAAACCCTCTTATTTATAGTCTAAGAAATAAAGAAGTAATAAAGGTAATGAAAGGCATTATGACAAAGAAAAAAATGTGCAACATATTAAAACCAGTATCTCCTGTGGAAAATTAATTATGCTTTGATAAAATTTTTTTCAGAATCTAAGAATACTGCAGAAGTGGGAGATCGAAACTTTGGATATAAAGTATTACATTTCAAAACATGACATGTAAGTTCAGATAAATTTATTTATTCAAATAAATTCAGAAATCAGATAATCTTCTAAAATGCACTCAAAACCTCTGCAACTAAGAGTGAAATAAATAATTATTATGAGGTTATAAATTGATTCAGAGTGTATTTAGGCACGTTATTAACAAATTTTGTTAACATGTAATTGCAGCATTGCACAAATACAAAAACACTAGAAGTCAGTATATACAAAGGCAGTGTCCATTTAAAGTTAATTGCAAATATCTTGAATCTCAGAACAGAATCATGTAAACTCACTCATATTCCAAATATTGAAATATTAACCTATTCTTAAATATCATTATCTAACAGATGTAATCTGTATGTTTTAATTTGATTCTCAACTTTCTTTGCACTTATTAAGAGATTATGTTGGAATATAGTTCATGCTGATTTTTATTTTCTAATCAAGAATATTTTCAGCCTTAGTGATAACCATTTACACTCTCAAGATCTCTGAAATAGAGTATCTATATAAAGTAGGTTTATCTATCTCACCTTGTAAGATACTCTTTAATATTGAAATCCCTATGGATGTGAATGTTTTTATGTAATGTGAATTTTTTTTGTCCTTCATGTACAATGGTGTAGTTTCTGACTGTATTTACTAATCAAGTTTGTCTTTTATCTTGACATCACTCCTTGTCTTCTTCACTGTTATGAATACCTCCAATACTAATTCCAGTGATTATTATTGACTGGTTTATATTATTCACAGAAAGATAGAGTAGTTGTTCAAGCCTAAATGAAGTATAAAATAGTGAAAATTCTTAATAGTTAAATGCTAAGTATTTACTCATCACTTAAAAGTACAAATTTTAATTTCAAGTGGGGGCACAGTGGTAGTGCAACTGGATCTACATGAGAAAGGTCTTGAATCTGCATACTGGGATCTCACTGAGCACACCAGGTCTGTGATGTAAGTCAACTAAGACTGTGAACTGATTGCAGCATGAAGACCCTACTGGATCTCTCTCTCCCCTTCTGCCTCTCTCTTTTGATGGAAGAAAGAAACTTTTTCTTAAAAAAAATACAAATATGAAAGAATATTCATTTACATTTAATCTACCATCTACACTAGACTTTTCACATAGGTTAACCTACCAAATATGCATTATATTTTATACTCTTCCTCAGTAGAAATCTGGGATTTGACATACTGTGTGGTTGGCCCAAGTTCATCTAGATTATCTGAATGGGACTGGAGTTTAAAATCAATGTTGCCTTTTCTACATGTTTGCTAGTCCAGAAAATGGAGCTCTAAGGAGCCAGGGACATGGCATTACCAAGAAGCAGTAGTAAAGTGTGCTTAAAAGTTGAAAAAAAATTGATATATGGGGAAATATGGAAATGAGTAAGACCAGAGATAGTGCTTTTTTTTTTCAAGTTCAGATAATAAGCATCTCTTTATTTGCTGATGCCATGACAAAAATTGACTTATGTTAGCAACCAAGAAAAAAAAAATGTGTTGGAATTGCAGTCACCAGTAGATACTCCTCAAAATGTTAAGTAGAATAGGAACGATATAAGAATATCAGTATTGAAGTGTTTAATTTTATTTTGTCTTTACCACTTGTATTTTAACAGGTTTTTTGGGAAAAAAAAAACTTGTTATTTTATCTTCAGAATTATAAAGGTTTAATTATTTAATCAGTTTTTGTTATAAAACTAAACTCTGAGGGTGTCTACTGAATTGGTTTTTTAAAACATTTTCTAATTTAAATCAGTAATCACAAAGACAGAAATCTTCTCAGTGATTTAACAACGTAGAAAAGAGAAACGTATCTATGGCTTTTTTGGAAATTAGTGTGAAACTGACAGTGTGGAAGAAAGAGGGAACAGAGAAGGGCCCAGAGTCAACAAGGTAGCCAACTACGTGGGAAGGGAGTGAGCAGGTCAGTTTACTAAGGATCTTAAATGCCACCCTAAGGAATCTGAATTTATGTAGAAGCACCGGACATTGGATTTTTCCTGACACCACTAGCAATGTGACTGTATCTTTCAGAAACTTATCTGGCAGTTGATTGTAAAAAGATTGTAAGAAAAGAGACTGGAAGCAAATGAAACTAATTTCAATAACTCATACATTACATAGCAGGAGCTAAGCTCTTTCTACCACCATCTTGGTTCCGTGTCCCCTGCACAAAATGCCTGGTGAAGCCACAGAAACCGCCCCCCCCGGGCACCAGAGAGGCCCCTGCCACAGCCCCAGGCTGAGACAGGTTCTGGAACAGAATCTGACTGTGATGAATCAGTATCAGAGCTTGAAGAACAAGATTCCTTCCACACAGGTAACTACACAACAAGTCCAGCTTGCCGCAGCAGCTGAAATCGATGAAGAACCAGTCAGTAAAGCAAAACAGAGTCAAAGTGAAAAAAAGGCACAGAAGACTATGTCCAAACTGGGTCTTCGGCTCGTTATAGGGGTTACTAGTGTCACTATCCAGAAATCTAATATCCTTGTCATCACAAAACCAGATGTCTGCAAGATCCCAGCTTCAGATACCTACATAATTTTGGGGGAAGCCGAGATTGAGGCTTTGTCTCAGCAAGCACAGCTAGCAGCTGCTGAGAAATTCAAAGTTCAAGGTGAAGCTGTCTCAGACATTCAAGAAAACACAGAAACTCCAACTGTACAAGAGGAGAGTGAAGAGGAAGAGGTTGATGAAACAGGTGTGGAAGTTAAGGACATCGAATTGGTCATGTCACAAGCAAATGTGTCAAGAGCAAAAGCAGTGGGAGCCCTGAAGAACAACAGTAATGATACTGTAAATGCTATTATGGAATTAACAATGTAACCATCTGAAAAGGAGGACTTTTTTTCGTGTTCCAAAAGACTACTGCAGCCTGGTTTGAAATTTGTACTCTTACTATCATTAATAAAGTTATGGCTTCTTGTTCGGAAAAAAAAAAAAAACATAGTAGGAGCTAAAACTGGAGACTAAGAAAGGGTAGGGGTGCACTAATACGAGCAACACATTAAAGAAAACAACTAGTAAATTGCAATTATTGGTTAATGAAAAGAAAGCCTACCTTCTTACTGTAAATGCTGACAATGTTATAACTGATTTCAAATGACCAGTATTCCACAGCAATTGACACATTTGAGCATTCCAGATATATTTTCCACTAATACAGTTATAAAAGTTAACATATAATGGGTTTTTTAGTTTTATTTTTATTGGGTTAATAAGTATTTTTTTAATTTCTCACTTTTATTTCTGATATAGCAAATATTTACAGATTATAGTCCATATAAAACAAGCTCTTTAGGGTCCTGAGTGTTTTTGAGATCTTAAAGAAATCCAGAGGAAAAAAGGATTTGAGAAGCTCTGAATTAGACAGACATTGTACCTTGTGAATCCATCCTCTATTTACAAGGACATTTTTTGTTGTCAGATTTATATTCATCGATTTAATTTCCTTTTCTTATAGTACCATGAATTTTGTTATGTTTCTCTGCCTCACTCAACCTCAACCCTAAGCAACACTGAATCCCAGATATCTGTTGATAGAAGAATATATTCTTAGCATTTGATTTATTTTATTATCTGCTAATGTGTATGTACATATAACAGGTATATATAAATGTATTTGTAATACATATGTACACTGTCAATGACTTTTTTTTTTGGAGAGGTTTTTGCTATAGGGCGCATGCCCTCACCAGAAAGACACAGAAAGACAGAGAGAAAGAAAGCGAAAACAGAAACAACAGAGAGAAAGAAAGCGAGAAACCCCCCCCCAGGGGGGATGGCCAAGCCACAATCCCTTCTCCTCCATTTTCCTCTCAGGATCTTGGGCACGCATGCCCACATGCCTGGTGTGAGTTTAAGCCACCTGGTCCGGGATTCGAATGGCAGTAGACTACATGGGAGTCCAGCGATATAGATAGTATGCCAACCGAGGTCCTGATAGCATGACATTTTATTCATAAATATTTCAGATTACCACATGATGAACTGCGGGTCAAGTCCCAGACCCAACAGCTTGAAAATCATGCTGGCTGTGTGTGTGTGTGTGTGTGTGTGTGTGTGTACACAAAACCCCAGGAGCAAAGGAGATTTCAGTTTAGGATGATTTTTCACCATCTTTCTATCCTTTTCTTTCACATTTACCCTACAATGAATCAAAAAAAAAATTAGAACCTTTTTATTTTTCTAGAAATTTAACGTCTTACATTAGTAAGATACATTTGGTATCATTAATGAGTCAATACATAATTTTGTTATAAAGAACTTAAGTTCATATTTTACTAATATTTCCATAGCTTTAACCTAATATTCTCTGTTCCAGAGACCCATATAGGATATCACGTTATGTTTAGTCATCATTTCTCTTTAGGCTGCTCTTGGCTATTACAGTTTTTCAGCCATTCCTTACTTTTGATGATCTTGAACATTTCGAGGAAAAAAACAGTTCCTTTTTTGGAGAATGTCCATTAGTTTGGATTTTTCTGATTTTTTTTTTTATTAGACTGGCTTTATGAGCTTTGGAGAAGAAGACCACAGAGGTAAATGCCATTCAAGTCATATTGTGTCAAAGGCAAACACTGTCATCTCCTATCACGTCCTGCATATTTCCTGCACCTTTTCTAAAATGAGCCATTTCTCCAAAAGCCTAGATTTTTTTTTTTTAATTGTAGAATGGGATTAAAAAACACGATCTGGATGATATATTGGTTTTATTGTTTCTGCAGTAATTACTTCTAGGTCTCTCAGCAGGCAGATTGAAAATATATATGTGTCTGTCTTCCTGCTGTTCCACACTCTTGTCAAAAATTGATATTTAATTTTTTTATGGAGGGGTAAAGGGTTTTTAGCCATTCTTTTTTATTTTTTTTTCTGAAGAGGTTTTTGCTATAGGGCGTGTACGCTTGC